GAGAGGAACGACCTCACCTGATGATTTGTAATGTAGTTGGCTACTGTTGACTTTGGGCTTCGTGCTTCTAGGGTCCAGATGTAAAATGTTGTTAGAGTGATAATCCTTTGCTGATGAGTAATTGCGTTTAATGTCTTGATTTCTAGAGATGCTTATTGTGTGCACTCGCGTAAGTCACTATTTTTAAACCCTTGTCCTTGTTACACGCACAAAACTTTTTCGATGATTGATGATTTGAATTTTAATTGTTTATGCGAATAATCACTTGTTTTTATTTTCACTTAGATTTTTTTACTATCCGGCTCGAAGGACCATAATGTTCGTTGCGTTGAGTATGTTGAGTATGTTGCGCGATTAAAAGATGGTTTAACAAAAAACAAAACTTTATTTTAACATGGTTGTGTATATGACTAAGTTTAAAATCTTAATGTTAAAATACTAAAATCTAGGTATAAAATACCAAAAAGGGGAGGGCGTTGCAGCCACTTGATGGCTAATATCTTCCAGATGTCGTAGCAGAATTGATTCTCCCTTTTCTTGGTAATTGCTTTTACTTGTAAATATTATGCACTTGTTAAACAGATAATTTATAATATATGAGCCAAGCGTAAACAACGATTAAAACAATTTGCCGTGCATTCCTGGTTGCATAGTGTGTACCGATCGCGGCAAAGGCGTTGTGGATCACGTGATGTTCTTAAATCTCGCCTCTGTTGACTTACATGAAGAGTATATAAGCTCAGGTAGTCCTTTGCTTTAGTGTGACACTACAAGTTGTTCGATACTAAAGAGACCTTAATTAGGTGGAAACAGCTGTCAATATTTGAAGTATTTTAAGTTGGTGGAACGCACTAAAACATTATCTCTAGCGAGTTGAAGGTTCAATTTTTTGGAATAATACCACTGGTAATATAGTAATGCGTCAAGGAACTCCCTGTTTCCTTTTTTTTCCTTTTTCCTGTCTAGTATGATTTAATTTGACCAAAAACACATAATATTTAACACTGAAAAGGAGTTCAATTTACACCAGGTAAAATTTATTTTAATACTGTGTGAAAGTTAAATTTACACTATTTTAGTATTTGAATTTACACTGGACCAACGAACCATATTTAACACCATTTTGGTTTGTATCGATATAGACCATGTTTGGTGTTAATTTGGTGTTAAAATGGTCATGAAATTTTAAAGTGTCGGTAAAATACGTCATATTAAATTCAATATGTCGAGCAGAATACGTAATGTCATTCCAAGTTCAATGTGAAAAAATAAATAAATTAGACATAATTTCAAAAAAATTTAAAATTTACAATTTTTTTTTAAATTTCAAGAACTAAAACAATGTTTTCCAATGAAAAAAAAATCATTTTTGTCTTTAATATTCTAGTATTACCTAATACATCATAAAATTTTGCAAAAAGAAAGCTAAAAAACGTATTCTTGGAACTGTCGTGGAAAACTTTAGTATTCCAAAAGAGTACCGATGGTGTCGCAAGAAAACCAAGATAAACGAGTAGCACGCACAAAATTGATTTAAATAAATAAATCTCACGCGCAAGTGGCTTCCATTAAATTGTTCAACAAATTGCAGATAACTCCTTTTAAGTCGTCCATCTCCATATCAATGTGTCGAAGAAACCATTTATAATTTGGTTAAAACATTTCAAATAAAACCTGAATTCTCTACCAACCGCGGGGCAATTAAAAATGTAATTTAAGTTTGTTTGAACATTACGAGCCGATTTTATCTCGTGAACCACTTAAAGGTGTTGTGTCTTACACAAATGTCATTGCACAGATCTTATCAAAAATATGATCATAGTAGGCGGTATACTAAATAGCACCACTTTGTATACATAATTTAGAAAGGTGCAATAAAGCTAAATAATTGTATTATTATCATGCAAATGAGTTAAAATGGTTGGCAATAAATATGTTATGCTTGTATTAGGCAAATAGTTAATAAAAAGGTAATTAGTGGATTAAAAATGAGGGCTATGTCGTATACAAGATCATTGACACGCCAGGTGTAAACAGAAATAAGAAACTAATGAATGATTCTATTTTAAAACCACAACAGTTTGCGATTTTCTTAATTTTCCACTAGAATGTCAATGACATCGGTAATTATAGATTTTAAGATTGTAGTTAGCTTCGAGATAGTTGAAATATGAACTTTCTCTCATATGGTTTACACAAAAATTCCTGTGGTTATTTTTTTGTAATGGTACAATATTTTATAGATTACATTAAATTTTATTAATTTTGATATATTTAAATAATGTGCCTTTTATTTTTGAACTCCTGTATTTATTAATTGGAAATTATAGTATGTTAAAAAAGACAATATTTACTATTTTTTGACAATTTTTAAAATGGTATTGTACAGGGTGGAAGAACAGATATGTTTTGTTTAAAAACAAAAAATTTCAATTTCCAAATCCAACGGTTTAAATCTTTTTTACGATTTTTACGGGCACACTGTATAATGTTATAAAACAGTGAATAACACAATTATTACTAAACCACATCATTATTAATGTGGCATTTCTAGGATTTTATACGATGACATAATAAGACCGGATTAACTTTCTTATAAATAATATTTTTGGTCTAGAAAAAACTCATTTAAATAAAAAATACTTTATTTGTTTATAATATATATAGTTTCTGTGGAACGGCAAAAGATATCGATTTGAAATTTTTAAAGCATTTATAATCCAATTAAGCCTATTTTTCTATAATATTTTGAACAACATGCTACTTCCGGTTTGACCGGAAGTGACAACAACTTTATTATTTCAAATAAAACACCCTATATATTATTACATTTTTAAATTCCACATAGTAAAATTACTACACCATGTCCTATACCTAAAGTGCGTAGATTTTTCGTTATAATTTGACAAATGCGCGTCAATCAAAAATAGCCTATAACTTTTTTGCTATTAGGTTTGCGGAAATGGGGGTGGAATTTTTGGAAACTTAAAACATTGTTCCATGTCAATTTTTTAATATTTTTCAAAAAATTACCCAAGAAAACCCAGGGCAAATTGGGCTAACTTGAAACGTTAATAACTTTTTTATTTTAAATGTAACACCCTGTATGTTTTTACATTAGACCCAGAATAGTCAAGAAGAGCAACGTCTAATGTATAAGTAAGAATTAAGAAATTCCTGAATATAAATGAAGGAAACTTTAAACATTTAGTAATAAATTAGTAATAAAAATTGTTAATTAAAATATTCTTGGTTTATTAAATTGTTAAAGTTATGCATTCTTTTTGTTATTAAAATATTTCATAATAGTATATTATGTAACAAGTTTTATAAACACCATTTTAGGGTTTTATTAGGCACGAGCGAAGCTTCGAGCGGGTGTTTAATAAAAACGAGTGTCTAGAGAAGTTTATAAAACGAGTTGCATACTATACTTTATCTACGACGAAAAAAAAAAATAAGAATTTAACCCTTAAATTCATATGATTTTATTGTACAAATATACATGAAAAGTTTGAAAATGGCTAATATAACATAGGAAAAATATTTAAGAAAATCAAAATCGAAAACAAAAATTTATTTTGAAAAAAAAAGAATAGACCTTTTTTGCTACTCATGCTACAAAAAGATATAGGACTTTGGTGCATATTGTTGCAGATATACAATCAGTATTTCATAAAAAAGACAATCACCAACTGTTTTTTCAGCCCGTGACTAAAATGCAAAAAAACACTGTTGTTAATTTCAGCCCGTGACTAAAATGCAATAAAGGCACTGCTCGTGAATGTAGGGGTAGATAAAATAAATTTTGTATTTTATTTTCTCCAATGAGCTAGTGCTTCATCTAGTTGACATTTTTTTTCAAAACTACACTGACTGCATTTTTTATCAGTAATTTTGTTTACAAATTAGTCAATAAATTGTTTATAACCTAAAAAATTGACGCCATTAAATTTTGAACAATGACAAATTACGTGGTAACCATAGATACAGTCACAGGTTTCTTGATATAAAATAATATTTAAAATTTTAGAAATTGTTAAATATCTCTGAAATTATTAACTTTAGGTATAGGGAAAAGTTACATTAATCGAAAAAAAAATTTTATTTGCTATTTAAAATAAAAAGTTAACGTTTCAAGTTAGCCCAATTTGCCCTGGGTTTTCTCGGGTAATTTGTTGAAAGATGTTAAAGAATTGACATGGAATCTTTTAAATAATGTTATAATTTTACTGAGAATTGTATGTAGAATTCCAAAATGTAAAAATATATGGGGTGTTCTATTTAAAATAACAAAGTTTATGTCACTTCCGGTCGACCCGGAAGTGGAATTTTGTTCAAAATATTTTAGAAAAATAGACTTAAATAGATTATAATCGCTTTTAAAAATTTAAATCGATATCCAATGGACCTCGAATGTGAAACACCTGTATAAATATTACAAATACGTAATTTTGACATTTTTTTCAGTGTAGGTAAAAATTCGGTTTTGTAGATACGTTATTTTTATTGCTTAGTTTAGTATTAATTTTAGATTTTTATTTTCGTCCAAACATAAATCTAATCTAAAACAGTCGCTATTAGCTAAAAGTGTTATTTTTTACAAAACCTTCGGCAGATCAAAAGATCCGCTTAACCATAATTATTTCCAAGATTAATTATCTATAATTTGTATCTTTGTTTAACATGGCTTATTTACTTATGAATGGCGGACTATTTTATAATTAATAACCAACGTAGAACCTAACATTAACATGAACTAGAAGCAACTGTAGCGCAATTTAGTTAATTAAATACATTGTTTTATTTAAAAATACATTTTTCATTTTAATGTAGAAAACAATTTAATAAACAAGTTTTTGTATCTTAAAGTTAATATGTTTTTATTTTGTTTTTATTAAAATAAATATTCATACAAAAAAAAACCTAAATATAAAATCAGAATATTCGTGTAAAATATTGATTGGTACGCCACTGAGTAAAAGTGAATTCCTTCTTACCTTTTTGAGATGTTTGTTAACCCATTTCGTGAAGGTTTTCTTTTGGACGGCATCTCGTTCATCTGAAAGGAGAAGAAAAAAAAAACGATTTATTAAAACCTTATGTTATTAATATGACGAAATAGTTGCACAACAATCATTAATTGCTGTAATGTTAATGTTAATAATTACGCTTTTATTGTCACTAAAACACTACAGAAACTTCTGTTTCCGGCAAGTTAATAAAAGATTCCAAAAATACAAAAGACAAGAATTTATGTCTAACTTAGCAAATGTACCATTCATTTTATTTTGTTGGTAAAACATATCAATTTCCTTAGTAAAAAATAAAATGTTAATTAACCGTTAATCAGCCGACTTTAAATAAAGTTACCAGTTTAAACACATCCTTAAAAAGTATTTCAACCAAAATTAAATTAACATTAGGCAACATCTGCATTTATATGACCAATTCAGAGTAATTTAAAGGCGTATTAAGTATGGTTAATTAGGCTGTTATCTGCCTGCCTACAGTGCATTTTTTAATTTTGGTCCAAAAGTTATTTTTCACACGATATGTAGTTAGCCAGAGAACATATCTTAATTAGTGCCTTAGTACTTAGCATCAAACAAAGAGCTCTTTTCATTTGGTGTATAATATAACTGCAAATTGCAGTCTGCAATATACTATAGATATTTAAACAATTACAAATTAAGTGAATACACATAGAATAAACTTTACAATAAATTAAAATTAAGGAAAAAATAATAGGTTTTTGTTTATTTAATATCACTAGTTAACAGCCATTTTGCCCACCATGTCTCACTGTGATTTTCTTGTGTAGTTTGGCTCACTAAACGCGAAATTCACACTTAATTTTTTTTTTCATGGAAGCGTTTTCGAGATATGAATTTTCAAAAAATTTAATATTGAACATTGATTTTATAATAAACATTAAATATTGAAATTAAATTCTATATTGAATATTGAAAATATTGAAAGTTTTATTTTGTTGTAATAAGCATTGGTTTAAAAAAATTTTGGCTCCTTTTTTTTTGTTGCTTTTGTATTCCGTTTCTCGTATGGTATCCCAAAAGCCGTGATACCAGCCTTCATTTGCTGGTGAAAACGTTCTCCGTGCTCATCACTTACGTCGCCCAGATTGTCCGGGTCTCTACTTCTTTTACTCATTTTACACTTTTTATTAACTAAATAAAACCATGATAAAAATACCTTGTTGAAATGTCAAAAAATAAGAGTAAAATGTCACTATGCCAACACGAGAATCAAAAGAATTCACGTTTGCGGAGAAATGTAAAATTTAAATTTTGAATAATGTTTCCGGTGAAAAAAGTACAAAAAAAAACTCAAAAAATTTCAATCATGCACTTTAATTAGGTTTTTATTAAAGAATAAACATATTACTAAACCAAAAAACCAAAAAACTAAAAATCGTCAAAAAGCTAAATGTTAAATTTAAATTTTGAATAATGTTTTCGGTGAAAAAAGTACAAAAAAAACTCAAAAAATTCCAATCATGCACTTTAATTAGAATTTTATTAAAGAATAAACATATTACTAAATCAAGGAAACAAAAAACTAAAAATCGTCAAAAAGCTGAATTTTGGTTTTCCACTAAAAAATTCATAACTTCACCATTTATCCATGGATTTTTATCAAAATTAGCTTGTTTTATTTTTGTAAAAATGTCAGCTTTACGAAAAAAAATCAAACTGGATTTATCTGTTTGATTTAAACCTTTCCCCAGGACGATATGTAAATTTTCGACCTCAATTTTTGCCATAAAACGAATTTTTTAAGTTATCAAAATCGCTAGCATCAAAATACTTTTCCGATACCTATAAGAAGTACGTAGAAAAAAGTTTTAGAGCGCTCAAATACCTTCAATTTAAGGGCTTGTTTGGACAAATCAATCAATTAGATTTCAAGATATACTCAAAAACCTCAAAATACCTCCAAAAATTGAAAAAAACCATTAAAAATTCATATCTCAAAAACGCTTCCATAAAAAAATTTGAGTGTGATTTTCGTGTTTAGAAGGTCAAAATACATGGGAAAATGGGAAAATTATAATGTGATATGGCAATACTGATTATTTAATTAACAAAAACCTATTATTTCTTCTTAAATTTTAATTTACCGTTTATTTTCAGAGAAATTCACATTTTTTTTATTTCTTCAATATAAAATGTTTTGTTATGTTTTTTCTCTTTTTTATGTAATAAAATTGATTAGAATAAGGTGCTTTTTATTTTCAATTCATTTTTTTTAAGTAAAATACTGTTTTTGTATTTACTGAGTGATTCCATATAAGATTTGTTATTCAAATAGGATCTAGTTTTTTAAGATAAAATAAAAATAATTCTAAAAATCACTCTATCACTTGAATTAATGCTACTGTTTTTAAATAAAAAAATCACGAAAATTAACTTTATTCTTGGTAATTTGGTCTTGCAATAGCTGTATGGTTGGCCCGTTAAAATCATCTGTGATTGAGATAATTTATTACATTACAGATTTGGAAAAAATAATTCAAAAACTTTTAAAATTTGTTTTTTTTTTCAGACTAGTAGTTAAAACTTAAAATTCAATACAAAATATTTGAATTTATCTTAAAGACCGTACCTACAAAGAGTATAGAATAATTATCTGTCGCGTATATCTTTTTCTCGGGGTCATAATTTCCATCCGCTAGCTCATGATTTGTAAATGAGATGTAAAATTGTAATTCCTAGTAGTGGCTAGCGATGTTTTTTTAACACAATTCCATTAATTTTACGAGTGTATGCAAGCGTGGGAGTGCAGGTTTTCTATCATGAGGTAGTTGCATAAAATTGAAATTGAAATTTTATGGAAAGGTTTAAGCGAATTGGTCAATTTATGGTATAAGTTATTTATAATTAGAATGGAATTCTCAGAACATTAATTTTTCTGTGTAATTAATCCCGACGCATTCGCCATTTTTTGAAACAAAAGGTAATCTTTATTTAAAAAGAATATTTATTTACGTTGCAGTTTGGGTAATTTATTTTTGAATCAGTCATGTTTTTATCAACAAACAAAGGTTGCATATAAATTGTATGCATAAAATTGATTAAATAATGTGTTTTATAAAAGTAGCGGCTAAAATAAACATTACAGTGTGAATTGCATTCAATACTACAATATAGAGATTATTTTTAAAATACATAATTTGTTTAATTAAGAATAGGTAGCTAATAACAGCAATTTGTAATTGTCAAATATTTTATCGTATTTTTTATGAATAATGCCCATAATCGGACACGAATTTAAATAAACTTTTGACAAGTTTATGAATGAACCGAATGTAAATTTTTGTCTGGCTCCGAATCGGTATTATCAAAGACAAAAATATGCATTTATGTAAAACCGACAACTTTACACGCAATAAAAATACCAAATGTAACACACAAATATAAATTATACTTATAATAACAATTGGTTAATTTAATTTCCATAAATGTAATAAAATAATAATAATAATAATTTATTTAAGTAAAACCTTGACTGCTGTGCTTGGATAATTACCAACACAAAAATATATATATTTTAGTACAAACAGAGTACTTTCAACTACAATAAATAGCGTTATACAGAAACCGTTAGGGTTTCAATAAAAGTGAATAAAAGTCGGATTTCGAATGTGACGACAATATTCAAGGTAATTCCAAGGGATTCCTACATAGCTACATAATATGTAAATTTTAATCCTGTCATTAGGTTTATGGGTGGATTGAAATTTCTCAGGTCATTTTTATGGCTTTATGAAATAAAGTGGAAATAGAAATGCATCAATAAGTTTTATGAATCGTTAAGATAAGTACATAGTAATAAGTCTACAAAGTAAAATGTGGAATATACACCGAGTGAGTTTTTTAAAGTTTTACAAATCAATTAAAAAAAATTGTTAAATGTTGTTAAACTAATAGAGACATATTTAAACATATTTTGAGGGGCAGGGGGTAATTTTGTATTTTTAAGTTATGATTTACTAAAAAAATGAATGAAGTGCAAAGTGTGCAAAAAATTGTTTTGCGCTTTCGCTTATGGAATTATGATTTATTAAATTATAAAATCATAAAAAAATTTCAATGAAAATGCACCTGTAAATCCTAATATTAATTTCGTTTTAGCATTAGAAAATCAAAAAAGCTGCAAAGAGTCAATTAATTTTTAATAAAACAATAAACCACGGTATCGTCATGGTAATTAAATTTAATTTAACATATTAAAAAAATCATGCCTAGCCATTCATGGGTGTTTTGCAAGCCTAGCCGTCAACTAGTTTCTCGTGCCTATGGAGACGGTAAAATTCAACTTTAAAATACTGTGCGAAGAAAAATAATTTTGTCACAAATAGGGTTTTAAAGTGTCGGAAAAAAACCGAAAAAATTGGGGAAAAAACCTGTTTTTTCCGTTTTTCCCAGGCCTTGGAAAAATTGGCTTTTTGGGAAAAATTGAATTTTTTTTTTGGAAAATACCTATACATATTTGAAAAAAAGTAGCAATCAACAACTTAACATTATTTTAAATAAAAAAATCCTTTATTACAAAAAAGAATTAAAATAAACATTAAATTAAATATTAAATAGGAAAATAAACGTAAACGTGAAATATACTGTCTGTTGGGTTTTTTGTTGCAAAAAGGAGTCCATTAAAAAAAATCAAAAGAAATAATTATTAAAATCATAATATTATATGATTATAATCAGCGTCTCGATATCAGTGTACGGATACTATCCGTAAAAATTTGGAAATTTTCAAAAATTTTTGGAAATTTTCAAAAAAATTTGAAAATTTTCAAAAAAATTTGGAAATTTTCAAAAAAATTGATTTTTGGAGTTTTTCGTATTACCCTTTGAATAAAATTTAAGAAATTAAAAAGTTAATTTTTCTGAAAATTTCACAATTTTTTTTCGGAAAAAAACGGTTTTTTTCAGCCGTCTCAATTTTTCCGGAAATTTTAAAACCCTAGTATTGCAATTTCCTAAATTTAATTGTGGGAACTAACTTTTTAATTTTTTTAACAGTCTGTCATTACGTCATTACAATCTTTATAATTTAATTGCCAACTCTTTAAAAATGAATTAGTCAAAAATGACCAGTTAATACAGTTATTAACGATAGCTTTTTCACTTATACCATGGTTAACCATGGGATACCATGGTGTCCTCAACAGTTAACAGGCAATTCTTATGTAAAATTGTCCCTTGAATGCGAAAAACCGTCAAAAATTATGAAAGTAGAGCAGTTTTTGAGATATAGTCAATTCCATATTATCTGGAAAATTGACTATCTCAAAAACTGTTCTACTTTTATAACGTAGAACATAGAAATTGACTGCTAAATGTTCGGGATACAAATTGCTATTGACGAGAATCATTAGTGGCTGCTTTTTTGCTATGACAAGTCATTTTTGACTTCATTCATTTTTAGAGAGAGAAAACTAGTTTTACTGCAATTAATAATATTTCAAAATTATTATTTATATATTTTCCACAATTAATTTCTGGCACATAGCAAAATGTCAAAAAATTTGTTAACTTTATTAAAAAAAAAACATTATTGTAGTTAACAGGGTTGGCATAAAAAAAGTAAAAAGTTGTATTTTTTGAATTAATAAAATTTAAATTAATTGAATTAAAACACTGACAACCCTGTAACAAACAAACCAAACGGTGTTAAACATCGAAAAATAAAAATCCACTCCATGCCTAAATGTTAAAACCCTCCACCGTACCTGAAGTAGCCTGTACAAATAAATCCCATATAGTACCTTTAAATTTGGTTAGGTTTTCCTCGTAACCATGAGGTTTATCGTCAGTCACAGTTCTCCTGTACTTTTCCTGCGGTGGGCCATTGTAGGAGTTTTCCTTAGGGTCGAAGCCCAATTTATTCTTGTAGTAGTGTTGCGTGGACATTATCACTGATTAACACATTTAAAACACACTAAACTTGTCGCACTTGTTAACCCCTTAGTTAAAATTATTTTTTTTCGTTAGTCGAATCGAAGTGATCGCCAGATTCACTTCTCGATTACCTATTAATATCACTTTGTTAGTCTCTAGTACAGTAGTTAGGTGGGTATTGTGTCTTCGTTGGGAATGTATTCGATTTCGTTGTCGCTTTGTTTCGAGTTTTCTATTTCATCTACAAACTAAGTCTTCTTGGTTTAGCTACAAAGAACAATTTGGAAATTAGGTTAGGGGAACGTCTTATACCGACTGCCAGTACTTCGTTTTGTGTTGTCAGTGAGTAGGTTTACAATTGGATTATTTTTTTAACAATACAATAACACATGCTGATTGAATGTAAATGTTTCGTTTCGTCAACTGATTTATTGTTATGTTCATTTTCTTAAAAACCAGACAGAGTTTTTAATATTAAATTGTACATATTGCATTTTATTTATTTTATATTATATATGCTGTACAATTTTGATAATATTTTATTTAAATAATGTTTGCCAAATTTAAACCACAAAAATTTAATCAGAAAGATTAATATTTTTCATAAAAATCAACCTAATACGAAAATCCAGGCAGATTACCCAGATAAGATATGTAGTTTTTTAAATTCTAAACCCAAAAATTACTTCACACTTTATAAAAGATAAGATTCCATTCGATATCAATTTTTTTTTTAAATTAAACAAAATAAAATCCAACAACAACAAAAAACAATTTACTAAAAACACAAACGAATATTTTTGCGAAAACCCCAGTGTTGACAACTTACAAGAGAAAAATATGGCACAAATGTAAACAAGGAGTAAAACTGTGGCGAAATCGAACGACAAACGCGCGCGACCGATCGACTATCACTGAAGGAAACAACTGAGAATCGGCAAGAAACAATCGCCAAACGCATGGTACATGGGCGGTACCATGCCCGGTACGGTTAGCAAACGTCAGACGCAGGTAGGTGAGAGATCTAAATAAATGTTTATTTATTATCGGTGACACAGTCACTTCATTTCTGTTTAAAAAAAAATATTAAATTTATTTTTTTAGCAGAAAAGCTACTGTTTTAATTGAAGAGATTAATAAATAATTGTGACAGGTGCAATACACTTCTCGTCAATTATATTAGGTGGATTAAGAAGGATTATTGGTATAAAAGAACAAGAAATTATTTATTTAAATAACCGGTGCTTAAATACCAAGATGTTTTATACATTTAAGAAGATAATATTATGTTCTTAGTATTTTTGCGCCATTTTCAAGACATGTTGAAGGTAAAAAAATCGACACTAACACTTTTTTTTTAATAAATTTTATATACAGGGCTTTTTAAAAGTCCTAAGACGGAGCCATAAGTTTTGAACAAAAAATTTATTATAATACAATATTTTCATTATTTGAAAAGTTCAAAATCATATTGAAATGAGTCAAAAATACTGACCGTTTAATTTCGCCAACAGATTTTTAAATTAATTTTTAACCCGAGCTCCGACCAAAAAAAAATTGAAAAATTCCTCAAAAGGTAATAAAAAACAAGGTTTTTTTTTACTTTTTTACCCTTCTGAAGGTACTCTCACAGTTTCAGATTTTTAAATTAATTTTAACCTGAGCCTCGACTAGTTTAAAAAAAAAATCAGAAAAAAACATAATTTTTATTTCAAACAAGGTTTTTTCCTTACTTTTTTACCCTTCTTTTGAAGGTACTCCCAAAGTTTCAGATTTTTAAATTAATTTTTAACCTAAGCCCCGAAAACTTAAAAAAAATATGAAAAATTCCTTAAAAGGTAAGAAAAAAATTTTTTTCAAACAAGGTTTTTTCTTACTTTTTTACCCTTCTTTTGAAGGTACTCCCAAAGTTTCAGATTTTTAAATTAATTTTTAACCTGAAAACTTGAAAAATTCCTTAAAAGGTAAGAAAAAAACATAACTTTCATTTCAAAAAAGGATTTTTGCCGATAAAACATTCAAAATTTCGGATGGAGTACCTTAAAACATCCCCTTTACTTTCACTGTGAAAAACTGCTTCCATATCGGATTTAAACAGTTGTTAGACCATTTTCAAGGGATAAATTTCTAAGACTGCCATTTTGAAAACCGCTAAAATAGATCCCTAACACTATTTTTATATAGGTAAAACTACTCTTGGAAAAGGTAAACAAATCTTGATTTATATTTTTATTTTTTGGGGTTTAGCCTTAAAGACTAATTTTCAACAAAATTTTAGTTTTAAAAAATCAAGTTTGTCTTGTAAATTTTTAAAAACCCTATTTTTCTCTAGTGCCTTTTATGTTTCCGATGCGACCAAAAGTTGTAAAGAAAAGTAGTTCAGAATCATCTAGGCCCATATACCAAATTTAAAAATCTTCGGCCAACTATGATTTTTGATTTTCATTTCAAGCAACTTCTATAAATAACTTTTTAAAGTAGGTATCTGTTACTAAAAAAGTAATATCTTGACAAAATAAATAAAAAATCATAGTTGCCCGAGGATTTTAAATTTAGTAGGCCTGAATGGTGATTCTAAACAACTTTTCCCAATGACTTTTGGAAATATCGACAACATAAAAGTCACTGCAGGGAAAAATATTTTTTTTGAAAATTCCCTTGATTTCTTAAAACTGAAATTATGTCGAAAATTAGTTTTTAACAAAGCAGGAAGAACCCCAAAAAATTAAAATTTTAATTAAGAATTTTGTACCTTTTCCAAGAGTCCTTTCGCCTATCTAAAGACACACTGTAAATTTTTTTTTTATAATAATATTGGACGTGGCCAACAGTTTTATATACTTTCTTAGGCATTTATGTTATTAAACACTCGCTGGCAAGCTTCGCTATATTAATCTCAAAGTCAATGGATGTGTGAAATAACCGCATGATTCAAAGGATATTTCTTAAAATTTATAATTTATATTTGTAATATAACATAAACAAAAGCATCTAACAACAAAATTCTTTAATTTTTAATTGCTGTTTACGGATCTGAAAGTTTTATTTAAATGTTAACAGTTAAATATATTATTTATTACATAAAATTATACAATGTAAACTTGTACATTTGGAACTACAAAAAAACTATAAAATTAAGATTTTAATTTTGCTAATCCCTAGATAGATTTATAAATATTTAAGCCATATTTAAATAATCAACAGCTTGGTATTTACACAGATTCGTTTTGTTATTAAATAATAAAGCATTATTTATGGCCAATATTCAGTCTAACACCTTTCGTTTAAATTTATTTCAGAATGTAGAACAACGTGCTTAAAACTGTTTAACCGCGTACCTACCGATTATATAGACACCATACAAAATTATTCTCGTATGTTTAATAGTGAAAAAATCACACACAATTTTAAACAATAACTTGCCGCATTGTTATGAACAAGTTTAAGGTTAATATAAAAATAACAGTAACACAAAATATTACAAAAATAGTGAAAAATCTAGGCATCCTTGTTCCACTTTATACATATTTCCATTTTTGTGTTTTAAGGTAAAAAATGTATGCGGTCTTCCTAAAAACTTAAAGATAACACAGACCAACAAAAAAAACTTTGGTCCAAACAAAATATAATTTTTCTACTCTCATCTTTAAAACGCCCATTATTGTTTCCATGACCTTTTAAATACACATTGACATGTTGTGGCTTTATAGCGCTTTAGTCACGGGCTGAAGTTAGCAACAGGTTTTTAGTCACGGGCTGAAGTTAGTTTTAGATAGTCAAACCTCATACAATCGTTAAAATAAAGTGCCTTTCTTATAAAATAATACCAAATTTGAAAATTATTTAATAATATATTGTTAAGTACATATTTTAATTTCTTTGGAAGAATCCTAAATGATAAATATGCTTTAAATTTGATCATATTATTACTAAATAATATTTCCTACACATAATACCATGGTAAATAAAATCGGTATGTTAATAAAAAACATGTATTAATTTTTGGTTTTATTATTAAATTAAATAAATTATTAGCAAAAATAAATATTTCTTAATTAAATGCTTAACAAATTTAATTCCTCATAAACACATAATTTAAACTAACAACGTTCTAACTAACAATTTTTATGTGAAAATTATTTAAAATTTTATTTTGACATTTTGTGATGACATTAATTATTTTTAATTATTTGCATATTTGCTTGTTTTCAGACTAGATCTTAATTAATTGATATTAATAATATTATATTTTGTATCAAATTTTATAGACGCCATTTTAGTTACGAGTTTAATTAAGCAAGAGCAAAGCTTACAAGCGAATGTTTAATAAAAACGAGTGTCTAGAGAAGTTTCTAAACTTTATCTACGACTAACAAAAAACAGAATTTATAGTCAAATTTATTTGTTAAAAAATCATCTGTCAACTGTCACCCGAATTTAATTTAACCTCACTTTTTCCAAATTTATAATAAAGCTAAGTTCAGCCCGTGACAATTTTTGTATGATTTCCCATAACTTTATAAATGTTTTTAATAGACTGTGTCTAAATAACTTTTTTTCGATTAAATATATCTAAAAAGTTTCTTCAATAGGAAAAACAAATTCTCCCAAAGTTTGAGCTCAATATCTCTAAAATTGAGCTGGCGCAAAGGGGGGTCCCCTTTCCCATTTAAAATGCATGGGAAAAACATTTTTTTTTAGTTTTAGTATAACTACATAAATAATTTTTTTTTAAATTTTGTTTCTCACTTCCTCATAATAGGAAATTTAGTTCCCTACAAAATTGTCACTATGCATTTTTTCTCAAAGTTACATAGCGCTGAATAGGAGGGAAAAAATAAAAATCGAATATTACAGTCGATAACGTTGCTATGTAACTTTGTTTCTGAGTTTATGGAAAAAATGCATAAGGTAGTGAGAATCAAAATAAAAAAAAAATTTCATGTAGTTATTCTAAAACTAAAAAAATTTTCATTTATTATATCACGAGAACTATGAATTTAATCGGTTAA